TCTTCGTGTTTTTAGGTGAGGGAGATGGCTGCCACCACTCTAAGTGGATTCCTGCAGTGTAATTTTCTCAGCATTGATGAACCCATGCAGGCCCATTTTGAGGCCCTGAGCAAGACCCGTCTGCCCAAGCGCAAGAGGAGAGAGCTGGGCTCAGTGGTGGACATGATCCCTTCTGCTGGTAATGATCACACAGACATATATAAGTACATACACTACTGTTCAAGTATGGGGTCAGTTTGAATGTTTGAATGGTAGTGTAATACAGTGTATATATATATATATATATATATATATATATATATATAATATACACAGTGCTGCTTGAAAGTTTGTGAACCCTTTAGAATTTTCTATATTTCTGCATAAGTATAACCCAAAAGATCATCAGATTTTCACGCAAGTCCTGAAAGTTGACAGAGAACCCAATCAAACAACTGAGATTAAAATATATACTTTGTCATTTATTTAATCAGGAAAATTATCTAATATTACATATCTGTGAGTGGCAAAAATATGTGAATTTCTAGGATTAGCAGTTAATTTGAAGGTGACGTTAGAGTCCATCTGTACAGAGGTGTTTTTAATCAATGGGATGACTATCAGGTGTCAGTGCGTGCCCTGTTTTATTTAAAGAACAGGGATCTATCAAAGTCTGATCATGTCTGGGGAAGTGAATCATGGCACGAACAAAGGAGATCTCTGAGGAACTCAGAAAAAGAGTTGTTGTTAATCATCAAGCTGGAAAAGGTTACAAAACCATCTCTAAAGAGTTTGGACTCCACAAATCCACAGTCAGACAGATTGTGTACAAATTGAGGAAATTCAAGACCAATGTTACCCTCCCCAAAAGTGGTCGACCAACTAAGATCACTCCAAAAGCAAGATGTGTAATAGTCCGTGAAGTTGCAAAGGACCCTAGGGTAACTTCTAAGCGATTAAACACATTGACTAATGTTAAGTTCACGAGTCCACCATCAGGAGAACTCTGAACAACCATGGTGTACATGGCAGAGTTGCAAGGAGAAAGCCACTGCTCTCAAAAACCACTGCTGCACATCTGCAGTTCGATAAAGACCATGTGGACAAGCCAGAGGAATACTGGAGAAATGTTTTGTGGATGGATGAGACCAAAATATAACTTTTTGGTTTAAATGAGCAGCGTTTTGTTTGGAGAAAGAAAAACACTGCATTCCAGCATAAGAACCTTATCCCATCTGTGAAACATGGTGCTGGTAGTATCATGGTTTGGGTCTGTTTTGCTGCATCTGGGCCAGGATGGCGTGTCATCATTGATAGAACAATGAATTCTGAATTATACCAGCTGATTTTAAAGGAGAATGTCAGGACATATGTCCGAGAACTGAATGTCAAGAGAAAAAGGGTCATGCAGAAAGACAACGACCCCAAGCACACAAGTCATTCTACCAAAAATGGTTAAAGGGGTCCTATTATGCTTTTTCACTTTTTCAACTTTAGATAGTCTGTAATGTTGCTGTTTGAGTATAAAAAAGATCTGCAAAGTTACAAAGTTCAAAGTCCACTTCAAAAGGAGATATTTTATTTAACAGAAATCACTTTTCAAAAACTACAACGAACGACTCGTTTGGACTACAACGCATATTTTCTGGAATTTGTGATATCACAAATATCGACGAATGGGATGAGACCTGGTTGAGCTGCACTAGAGAAGGCAACGAGTGTTATCACTATGTCGGAGACACGCTAGCTTTCCCAAGGCAGACGAACTTAGAGTGGTTACAATCATCCGGGTTTAAATCGCGCTCAAATTGATTTGATTTTGACGCAATATTTACACTGAAGCTCACAGGCGGCTATGGTGGTAAGGTGCATGACATTTCCCGACCAGGCACCGAGTCCAGACCTTAATCCAATTGAAATTTTGTGGAAGGATCTGAAGCAAGTTCATAGGAGGAAACCCACCAACATCACAGAGTTGAAGTGTTTCTGTACTAAGGAATGGGCTAAAATTCCAACAAGCCGTTGTGCAGGACTGATCAACAGTTAAAAGAAAGGTTTAGCTGCAGTTATTGCTGCAATAGGGTGTCAGACCAGATACTGAAAGCAAAGATTCACATACTTTTGTGAATCCACTCACAAATATTTAACACTGGATTTTATTTTATTTATTTTACATCATGACTTTGGTCAAGAAAAATTATTTCAAATGTTGGCTATGATTTTATATCTAAGGTGAATTCAGGTAAACTTGGTCTCTTTTAGTCCCTCAGATGAATTTACCTGAATTCACCCTAGGTATATTTATATACCTTAAATAACTTTGATTTTTCATGTGTGTGTGTAGACCTGGTGCGGCGGCATGCAGGTGTATTGGGTCTGAGTGCCTGCATCCTGTCCAGTCCGTATGATGTGCCCACCTGGATGCCCCAGATCCTCATGGACCTGAGTGCCCACCTCAATGACACACAGCCTATAGAGGTACAGCTCTCGCTCTCCTTTACTGCTGTGTGTTAGCTGTGGAGAGAAGGGGGTTGATTGGGAATGATCAGCTGATTGCAGTCTGCAGGGGGGCCAGGGATTGACTGAGCAAAAATAAAATGTTTAAGCATTTCTGGAAGTTGAACATAAGTTAACTCATGCAACTGAATTTTGAAGAAATGGTATGGACGGCAGAGGTAGACCAGCAGCTGCAATACTGAGAATTATAGCTAAACCCAGAGCCAGTTGCTTTAAATGAGTGACTCACAAGATCTTTTATATAAATAAATATATATATATATATATTCCGTTTCTCTAGATGACTGTGAAGAAAACCCTGTCGGATTTCCGTCGCACTCATCATGATAACTGGCAGGAACACAAGCAGAAGTTCACAGATGACCAGCTGCTGGTGCTCACAGATTTGCTGGTCTCCCCCTGTTACTATGCTTAGGTCTGTTATAAACACACACACAGGCTCTTTTCCAAAACCTAGTGAGCTGCTTTGGTTTCTGCTGCCTAGATAGACTGTGCCTTTTAAAGCAGCATCCTAATTTGAAATGAAACTGCACAAATGACCGATTTGGAACGATCTACACACTGTAGCCAGCAACTCCAGCCAGTACATCATACAAATAGTGAATGTAATACTACAGTAAAACGGTATGTTTTTATTTAACATCTTTTATATACTTTTTTTTTAATTATTAAATACTTTTCTGGGTCATTTCATTTTCTGGAATTTTGATGCCATATGATAAATGATAAAATGCCACCTATAGCATCTAACTAGATTTTGGAACATACTGTTCACATACATGCATGTTCAGACATGTTTTATCCTCAGACTCTTCTTATGATCATTTCTTTTCTGTTTTTCAGAATGATGTCACTGTCTGGTGAAGGGGAAAGCAAAGCTAAATGAAACATGAATTTTTGTTTGCTCTGAATGTCTGGGATTGTTTTTAGAGGAAAATTAAAAGATTTATGTAGCAATAAATGCAATCATCTAGTTATAAGATAACTAGAATCTTTTACTAAACTCTTTTTTTATTATTATTTTTGAGTACACTTAATATTTAAGGGGAACTTTATTGCAGGTATCGCTGACCTGCATCTATAATGTTCTTGTACAGATTTTAATTTTTGCTTGTGTGAGTGCAGTATGGATTGTTATAGCCCAATATAAAGCAGTTTTCTGCACTGCTTTGCATTGCATATTTATTGTAATAATAGCATTTGACAATTTTAGCAGTAATCCGTTTAAAATGTGTACACATGTAATATTGGTAAATGTTACATATGTGTATGAGGTAAAAGTACCAATTTCTTTTTGAAGTAGCACTGTACATTTCCCCATGCCTCATAGAGACAGTGAATTTTTAACAGTTATGTAAGCCTACATCAGTTAAAGAGTGTAAGACTATATGCTTTGGTGATGCTGTTCTCCAATTGTCATGCCAATACAGCTGAACTAAACTGATAATTGAATATAATCACAATGGCAATAGCATTACAAAATAGTAGTCCTTTTTAAACCATGAGATTTTAAACTCCTGCACTTCATGCATCTTTTTCTCTATTCATATTTTTGCAGTCAGTAAATTGTTTATTATTTATTTATTCAATTGAAACTTTTAGTCTGTCTTTTCAGTTGACCTTTGCATTTAGTTTAGTGTTTGCAGTTTTTGCTTCAAGCCAGGTGTTCTCATATCCCGATATCAGAAGCTTTTTAAAGGTAGTGTCAGCAAAAGTGGAGACAGTGTCATTGAGACTTGCCGTTAGCAAGCGTCACTGAGCCAGTCAGTAGCAAAAGTTGTAGACTGTACATTAATGCAGTGATTTGTTGGCAAGCTTGCATTTTAAGTATAATTAACGCTGTCAAAATCATGTCATAAGCAGTGTTGGGGAAAGTTACTTTTAAAAGTAATGCATTACAATATTGAGTTACTCCCTAAAAAAGTAACTAAATACGTTACTTCGTTACTTTTTATGGAAAGTAACTCGCGTTACTTGTAATGCGTTACCCCCAACACTGGTCATAAGCCAATGTGTAGTTTAACTTTGGTTGGTAAGCTATAAGACAAAGTAATGCTATGCTAATGCTTGACTAATTGATTACTTTTGTTAGTTTTTCTTGATATTCCTTTTACAAATATTTGACAAAAGACAAGTGATGATTGTAATAAAGTGTGACAAAATATGCAGGTAAAGTCTTTTTTTTTTGTGCCTCTCCAAAGTTGCTGCTGACAAAGAACAATTTGTTTGATATATTATTCAAATGCGTAATATATATTATTTCAATTTGTGTGTGTCTTGGTATGCATGTACGTGTGTGTAATCAAAAAATATGATTAATATAATGGAATCGGCAGAATTGCTCATCTCTGCTCTTATTTAAATGAACCAAATATTATATATATAACAAAAGAAGACTCTTTGTGCTTCCTGCGTGGGCATCCTTGCTGTCCATTCACGGGCTTCAATATGATTCCAGTGAGGCGCGCCCTCTCTCTTGCGCATTACATTCACTCTGTTTTTCATTCTTATGCTGTGATACTCTTTCTCTAAATAGGATGTTTGTAACGTTCATGTACTTTGGAGATCTGTACAAATGTGGAAAACGCGGTGTTTTAAAAATGGCACACGTAGGGAATCCATGGTAAGAAAATCATCATTTTTCGGCAAGTGTAGAAAGAAAGCCGCAGGGTTATTATAGGCGACTGTGTGTATGGACTGAACGATGTATTAGATATTTATTGGACGTTTGTTTTAATGATGCATGTGATCTATTGTATGTGTTCTTTCAAAGATTGGGGCTGGATGCATTTTTGACACGATGTTATAGTCGGCACACATTCACCTGCAGTAATATAATTCTTAACAGAGGTGGTTAACGGATAAGAAAAGCCTTCAGATACTATGCAGATTGTTGCAGGCATGTACTCATCTTAATCGATAGATTTGTGGATGATGGGAACGCGCACGGATGAGATAAAGGTACAATAGTCATCGTGATGCTCTGTGTTTTTAAAGAAATTCCAAATAATTTGTGCATCAAGTGATGATAAAGATGTCACATAGATTAAAATGAATCCCTCAAATGGTTAAAAAAAGCCATTAGGCCGTTGTCATAATTATTTGTTGTTCATTTATTGTGTTACATATTGTCTATTACTAATCAATATTTATTTATCTCTTGGTGTCCTTGCAGCAATCCAGAGGGTCTGCCATGAACCATGTGCACAATGGGAGTATTAGCTGGCTCTTGGGTGACCTAAAGGCAAGATGGGCAACACTCTGAGGCTGTGACCACTTTGCATCCCCATGTGTACCATGAACAGCACTGCCTGGCCTTTGGACCTGGCTGAGTTTGCGAAACCTCGGGGCTTCAACAGCTCCCAGAGCCAGTCTGCTTCTGTGAGTGGTTGGGCATTAATCCACACGGCTACCCTTGCCTCCTGTTCCCTCCTGTTGGTCCTCATCTTTTGTCTCGGTTCTTATGGAAACTTGGTGGTCTTCTTGTCCTTCTTCGACCCGGCGTTCCGCAAGTTCCGCACCAACTTCGACTTCATGATCCTCAACCTATCCTTCTGTGACCTGTTCATTTGCTGCGTCACTGTGCCCATGTTTGCACTGGTTCTCTTTCTGGATGCTGGAGACGCGAGTGGCGGCGTGTCCCAGGGCTTCTGCTTTGCCTTCCACCTCACCAGCTCGGGCTTCATCATTATGTCCCTCGAAACGGTGGCTGTGATTGCCCTGCATCGACTCCGCATGGTCCTGGGTCAGCAGCCCAACCGTACAGCCTCGTTCCCCTGTACTCTGGTCCTCACTGCATTGTTATGGACCACCAGTTTCACACTGGCGGTGTTGGTCACCTTACGAGCATATCCCAGGAGCTCCGGACCTTGCCTGCCCCACTTTGGTCTTACCGGCAACAAAGCCAAGGTAGTATTGTACGTATACATTGCAGACTTTGCTTTCTGTGTAGGTGTGGTGTCCATCTCATACCTCATGATCGCTCAGGCGTTGAGGAAGAACGCTCAGGTTCGGAAGTGTCCCATCATCACGGTGGACGCGACACGTCCACCTACTTCTCATCCGCCGCTCATTGCCACTGGTTTCGAGGGCATGCAGTGTACAGTGCAGGTGCCCTCGCTGTACCGCAACCAGACCTACAACAAGCTCCAACATGTCCAGACGCACTCCTTTACCAGGAGAACCAACCAGCCCCTCGTGCCTGGGGCTGCCACTGGAGCAACTTGCTGCCAGTTGGTCTCCACAGTTAACCTGGCGACAGCCAAGGATTCAAAGGCTGTGGTCACATGCATAGTCATCGTCATCTCTGTGTTGTTGTGCTGTCTACCACTAGGTATATCTTTGGCGCAGGATATGGTGTCACCGGAGAGCAGTTTTGTCCACTACCAGTTCGAGCTCTGTGGATTTGCCCTCATCTTCCTGAAGTCTGGAATCAACCCGTTTGTGTACTCGCGCAACAGCGCAGGTCTGCGTCGCCGTGTGCTCTGCTGCCTCCAGTGGGTGACCTTGGGCTTCCTGTGCTGCAAGCACAAGACACGCCTACACGCTATGGGCAAAGGAAGTCTGGAAGTCAACCGCAATAAGTCCTCGCACCACGAGACCAACTCGGCGTACATGCTGTCGCCGAAGCCTCAGAGGAGGCTGGTGGACCAGGCTTGCGGACCCAGTCACTCCCGGGACAGCATGCCTAGTCCTTGTGCCACCACTGGACGCAAGCCCCGACCCCCGAGCACATCTACACCCATCAATACGCGCATAGAGCCTTACTACAGTATCTATAACAGCAGTCCGTCAGCAGGCCCGAGTTCCCCCAACAGCCTGCAGCGGGTCAACTCTCAAACCACAGCCTTTGCCAAAAGCTACGTGGCTATGCATTACCACACCCACCAGGAGGCGCTGCAGGACTTTGACAGCACCTCAGCTCATCAGATTCCCATCCCATCAGTCTGAGCTGTAGAACGTCATGCTACCTACTCAGCATCCAAAGGGGAGCATTTATAGTGTTTGCTAGTGGTGTTTTGCTCAAGAGACAATGTGCGTCATTGAGTATCCAATAAAAAGAAAATGGGACTAGCTAATTGTCGCTTTCCCCAAGTGTTATCACTATTTTCTGGACTGAAGGATGTTCTATTTTTACATTTACATGGCATTTTCATGTAATATTCTTCACACAGATTATGTATTTGTGAAACATCCTACATTTTATATATGAACTTATTAAATGTTTTGCAAGTGTATCCTGACATCTTTAATTTGAGACCAAATGTTTAATAATGTACTGCTGTAGTTTGCTTTGTCGATCATCTCTTTTAAGGTATTCACACGCCTTAAGCATTAATAAGCTAATTATGGATTTTTTTATGTAAGAGCATTAGCTCTCTGTGAACAAAACCTATACACAAAAAGGGACGCTAGCACCACCCAGTGTAGGTAAATGGACCCTTCTGGCCAATTCGTAATGTTTAGCACAGGCATGTTTATTTCTCCATGAGAAATATTTTCTTTGTTATAATGAATAGCGCTGTCTGAATGAAATTATTGTAAATGAAAAAAAATCTTATTCAGAATTTTTGCTGTTTTCCAGTACAATGAGCTTGTTTTTCAAAAATATATCACAATTCAGTGATTTTATGCTTAAATCAAGAAAAATATCTGCCAATGGGGTACGAAAAATAAACTTTTATGTTTGAATTGTTATAAAAGTATAAATTAAGTCATTTTGATATTTTTTCAGCAAACAAGACTTTCTTGAGTCATTTTGCATATCAAGTAAATGTATCTTGATTTAAGAACATTTAAATATTTGTACTGGAAAACCAGGCAAAAATACTAAGAACAATTTTTTGCAGTGTATTCATTAAGGTGGTGTATGAATCTTCTGAAATGACTTGAAACATGATACTCATTTTATTCAACTGAACATGTACAGGCTGAGAAAGAACCAGCATTGCAGGCAATGCAAGGAAATAAATCTTTGTCTTGATAAATTTGTTAGAGTTAAGAGGAGCCCTTCACCAAACACATTATCGTACAGTAGTGGAAGTGGTTACATTGAAGTGAGGGTAATCACAAATTGTGAACATACCGGTAAATCAATGACCCATGATTTCCAAAAAAACTGTTTAATTACATTCACTTTCCTTTGCATACAAGACAGTGCATTTTCCCTTGCAGTTTGCATTGCACAATTACTACTTCTATCACTTTTAAAAACAATATAACCGTCTCCATATGCACAGATACTGGCAAGCACTGAACTACCAGAAGTTTGATCAAATAAATAATGTATATTTAAAACAGCTGACCAACTTGTATAATCAATTGATTAACAGAACAAATTAATCATTTGATTAGATTTTTTAAGTGACTTTCCCTCAGCCAACCATCTAAATGTGCCAAAGCATGAAAAAGCTGAACAAAAAATATTCTTCAACAGGTTTGAGATTTGTAAATAAAACATTGAGAATTCAGTCCTAGCTGCATCTCCAGGTTTAAAAGTTTCATCAAATCTCCTCCGTGTTTAGTCTTCAAACAAGAGAAAGTGCTGTCAGTGAGGGACTTTCTCAAAGGGTGGAGGCCTGAGGTTCAGCAAGTCCATGTTATCGCCATGATCTATGGAACTAGACTTTATCAGACCTTTATCTCTCCCTCTGACAATCATACTGCCTTCCTCTTCTGTATTGTTTGTTCTCCAAACTAAAATCCATTCCTCCATCTAGGCTAGCTAGGGATTGAAAGAAGTCCATTTTCATCTGCAGTGTCCAAGATCTTGCATATTACAGGCGACTCAACCTGTGGCAGAATGATAACCACGATAAAGTTTATCCACATTAAATGATCACACTGTAGCTTTTCGTAAGCCATAACATCAAAACACAATGTGCTCATCACTGGAATCATCTAAGGCTGTGCAATTATTAAAATCGAAATTGCATTCAAATCTCAAAGTCATTTTGTTTTCCACTCACCCCGAGAACATATTGACAGGTCTGAGGTTCCAGCATGTAAACTGTAACAGCATGAGGAGACTCTGATTCCTTACACCTGAGACAGAACAGGTAAGTGTTAGTGGCAGCATTCAAGAAACCCAAAAACCTCATAGCATCAAGAAGTTTGGGTAACTCACTTGAGCTTGACTATAACCTGTCTCGGTTTCCCTGTTAGGTCACAAACATCTCCATGGCCATAAAAGTGAGATACGACCCTGATGAGGTAGACAACATACATGACATATTATTAAAATCTGACAGATATATATAGAGATCAAAATTAGAGAACCTACAATTTCCTAAATTTCAAGGTCACCGTTTAGTCTTATTTGAGGTTATCGTAACAGGAGTACAAGGGCAGTTTTTTGAAGCATATTTTATTAATTGTATTCTGAAGCACAGTATAAAACTTAAATGAGATATTTGAAGAAAAAAAAAACTCTGATCAAAATCAGAGAACACTTACAGGTATCTCCAAGTTATTGGTGTTAATCTGGCACCTGGTGCTAATTTCCTTAATTATATGACGACACCCTATTTAACTGGCAGCATTCCTCCAATTTTCACTGAGATTGTAAAATGGCGGGCGGCTCTAAGTTGACTGAAACTCTGCGACAGGATGTTGTCCAGATGAATCCCAAAGGGATAATCCTTTCATCCATTGCAAGAGAAGTTAGTCTTTCCAAATCTGTGATTTCTCAAATATTGCAGCTTTACAATGACACTAATTCATGGCCCCCAAAAAGGCTGGTCGTCCATTTAAGACAAAAGCACAAGAGGACAGGATAATGCAGAGACTGTCAATGGGGAATCGGTTCAACACTGCAGCTGGAATTGCTTGCCAGTTCAGTGCTGAACAGGGTAAGGAGCTGTCTTGGCACTTTTAAGAGAAGTCATCTAAAAGCACACTGTGCAGTGACCAAGCCTCTCGTCAGCAGAAAGAATCAAAAGGCTCAGCTCACCTTTGCTGAGGAGCATGTTGTGTGGACAGAGGAGAACTGGTCCAAAGTTCACTTTAGTGATGAGAGCAAGTTTAATTTATTTGGGTCTGATGGGAAACCTTTTGTTTGGCATCAAACTGGGGAAAGACTGAAGCACAAGTGTGTAAATAAGTCAGTGAAAGGTGGAGGAGGAGGTGTCATGGTTTGGGGTATGTTTTCTGCAGCAGGAGTTCGGCCTCCTATACAGTTACATGGCAGAGTGAATGCAAATGTTTATCAGAACCTCCTTCAGCAACATGCGGTACCTTCCCCTGCAAGCATCTAACAATCAGCCTGCAATTTTATGCAAGACAATGCCCCAGTCACACTGCAAAACAGGTAAAGCAGTTTCTTGAAGTCAAGAACACTGAAATAATGAAATGGCCGGCCCAGAGACCTGACCTAAACCCGATTGAAAATCTTTGGAAAAACCTTGGCTAAGAAACCACTATGGTGTTTGTTTGTGTTTGGTAACACTACAGTTACCAAACTATGGAAGAGAGTGGAAGAAGAGTTGGCCGAGATCACACCAGCGCATGAGAAAGTAGTGATGTCCTGCGGCCACTGAAGTGCTGAAGTCATTTAAAGCAAGGGCCTCTACACTTCCTACTAATTTCTGAAAGCTGTAACCCACTAAAATTTTAGTTGTAATCTTCTTTCGTGCTACAGTGGTTACTGTTCTCCAATTCTGATCACTGTTGTGTTTTCCACAAAATAAAGGTTTTTGTTGAAATGCCTTGATTATTTTGTTAAACATGTTAGTGGAACAGTGGTATACTTACAGCTAATATCACCTCAAATTGAGTGATTTTGAATTTTTCAGAAAAATTTAGTTTTTATAGATTTTATCATTTTGATCTCCACTGTATGTATATGTATGTATGTATGTATGTATGTATATATATATATATACACACACACACATTACCATTTAGAGTCTGTTAGATTTTTCTCCAAACTTTTTAGTATATATATATATATCAAATTTGTTTTATATTATCCAGTTTTTTTTTTAAAGCACCTTGTATATGAGGGAAAAATAATCATACTTGACTTTCTGCACTCCATCGTCTTTCAAATGATAAGACCGTGCCACATTTTTCTTGGCCCAGTTAATATGATCCTCAGTGTTCCAGCTGCCCACCACCACAATGTTCTTCCCTTGTTCTTTGTCCTTCAACCGAATGCACAAAATGCAATTTAGCATCTCTCATAATCCAGACCTTTACACTATACTGGGAATTGTTATATAAGAATTCAGCGACTTCACAATCTTACCTCATGATACTGGTGGACGTGCTTTCCATAACAGAATTCATACTTCCACCATCCAACACCCTAGACAGAAACAAATATGTTAAACTGGGAATATGTCCAACTTAAAGATCCACAGATATAGAAAATAAACCCATCCATCCATCCTCACCCCATGCAGACAGTAGGAGCCACTCAGAAACTCTTTGATCAGCTGTTCATCAGTCAGACGAGAGATGTGGGTGGTGCCAACGGTGACCTGGGCTTGCCCGCCCACTGTCAAGGGCTTATGGGTAGAAGTATACGCCTCTTCCTTCACTGGAGGTGTGTCCTCCTTAGCAAGGGAGACAGAGGGATTACATTTTTAAAAATATTTTTACAACAATTTATAATTACATTAATTTAAGTTTTTATATACTTTTCAGAACAATTTTTTGTTCATTTTGCAAATATAATTTGTTATTGTCCTTTAATAGAAAGCAACTTTAAGTATTTATAGCAGGAGTCATTCATTACCGCTCACTTATCCCGCAGTAGGTTAGTGATAATGCAGAAGATAAAGGGCAGATGTATACTCACCCTGGATCCTCTCTGATCTCTTTCTCTGCTTGAGCTGAACGCTGGTTTGAGCAGCTCTTCCTGCTCACGATCCAGCTGGGACAGACTCTGAGGTCTGAGAGGGGAGCCACCCAGAGCCTGGCAAAAGATGTCATTCACCGGGGAGGACTTGGACCTGAGGAAAGATGGGCTGGATTATGTCACAAAGGACTAAAAATGTATTATATTTTATTATTTATTTTTTATTAAAGCACAATGTATGTGAGGGATAGGTGTTTCTATTTCTTGACATACATATTCACAAGAAAAAAAGTGAACAGAAATCAATAACTAATATTTATCCACTTATTTAGTATGATAAACTATGGAAACTGAATGTGTTTGTATATGTACCTGTATTTCGGGTGAGGACAGAGGAGGGGTGTGAGCACCACTACCTCATACTGACAGGTGGTGACCTCAGCGATTGTGAGGATCTCATGTTTTGCCTCCGGGTGGCAGACGTACAGCACTGTGGTAAAGCGAGGTTCATTCTGTCTCAGAGAGCATTCAGTCCCTTGTCCCATCTCTACGGGATAGTATGGTGTCAGCTGACCCTCTATATTCTTTGTTGGCACCTGGGAACACACAGAGAGTTTTAAAAAAAAAATCCTTAGGTGACATACATTTCCTACCTTTATATTTAACAGCTACAAACCTCTGTGTTGGTGTTTGATCCTTCCGTTTCAGAGTCGCTGGATGTTTCTGATTCTGATTCTGATGAACAGATAATATATTGATAAAAAAATGTAATACTTTACTAGAATATTTAAAGCAAGAATTACAAACTTAAGCTTACAAATTTGCCAACCTGCACCATCTTTTTTATTCATGGTACCCAGATAGTATTCCTGAATGTTGATCTTCTAAGGAAGCAGAGACAAATAAGACCATTAAAATGTTTATATTACTTAGAAATATGTCAATATAATCCATCCACATACACTAAAGTTTGGGATCTGTAAGATTTTTGTTTTTAAGAAATTAATACTTTTATTGAGCAAGGATGTATTAAATGGATCATGTGACACTGAAGACTGGAGTAATGTCTGCTGAAAATTCAGCTTTGCCATCACAGAAATAAATATTAAAATAGAAATCAGTTATTTTAAATTGTAACGATATTTTATAATATTATACTGTATTTTTAAACAAATAAATACAGCCTTGGAGAGCATAAGAGACTTCTTTCAAAAACATTACCAAATCTTACCAATCCCAAACTTTTGAGTGGTACTGTAGGCATTTCCAATATGATATAAGGAATGCTATAAATAATGATCTGGCAGCATACAGCATACATCATAAACAGTGATTTTACCTGCCCCGTCTCCTTGTCTTCATGGTACTGCCGTACATGCTTTCCGTGGCACACTTCATATGTCCAGTATGACTCGATCTGTCATAATTGTAATCAATGCAAAACATATGACTCATCATAACATCTAACCTCAATCATTTATTCAAACATTTGACTTTTTGTAAAAACAAGCTTAATTCTCTTTTAGCAAAATATAACTTGGGGTGAAATGTGACCTAGACATATTTTGTGAGATATAACCATGTTTATAAACTAGATACAGAAACTGAGACATGAAACTCACTCTGTAGGAGCAGCTGCTCTGTTTGAATAACGGCTCCAGCAGCTCAGCTGGACTCGGCCCACTATACTCCTTCATATCATCCTTCAAAAAAGAGACGGGCAATAAATTGATCAAATAAAACTGAAGTAAACGATACACAGAATGGCTCAAGATAATAATAACTAAAAAATTGGCCATGCATAACCACACCTCCTGGTTGCTGGACAAAGATGGCAATAAACATTTGTACTTTTCTTTTTCCGCAGTTGTCATGATAACATAGTTATCTTCTTTGTACAGGCCTCCTGACGTTGACTGCAGAGAAAGGGATATTATTACATATTAGTGCATATTTAACTTCTGCAGAAGTAAATAACAACAGACAAATCCATGCCCACAGCAAAAGAGAGATAAACCAGACAGCCCTACTTGCCATTTGTGTAATTTAATACTTCATAATGCTGTTAGAGAGAATATTAACACACTACAAGACAGCTCAAAACAAAACACATCCAGCAGTTATGAAGCGAGCTCAGTCAACAAGCTGACAACTAAACAAACACATATTTACAGCTGTCATGCGAAACGTCTGGGTTTATTAGATGTTTTGACTCACCAGGGTGAAGTCTGCCCCGGGCCATCTGATTTTGAAGGGGATCTCATCAGAAATCACAGGAGATCCAGCACGAGTCGCAGACAATCCGACCCAAAACAGCCCCAAAAACCAGCGCCAAGACACCCGCATCGCCCCTGCTGAGCCTTCAAGAGCGCTATCGGGACATTAGAAAGAGACAGAGGGAGGAGAAGAGTCAGAAACACGGTTACTACAGGTAATCAGTGAGATCTAATAGCAAACTGACTGTTGATAGCTTGACCAGAGTTAAAACAGGAAGCGCATCAGGACTTTGTCATCTTGCCACGTCCATTTCCGGCATCAGACGGAAATTCCCCTCAGCCAATAGCGCGTGGAGGCGCATGAGCCTCTGTTAGTACGGCCATAGACATAACACAGAACACCATACAGACCCTCTTAAACTGCACCTACTCCCATCTCTCCTAAACCATTTCCTGATCCGTCACTTTATCTCTGCAAACCCCTGTCCATTTACAGTCCAGTTGTTGCCAACCGCCTTGGGAGCCAATTGTCTCGCCATCCGTCGACCGCTCCCTGAAGCGGTCTCCAGCCGCTGCCGTGCTCTTGCCTGCTGCTGCTGCTGTCATAACATACGCTGCGATATCAAATTAATACTTGTATTTTTGGCGATTAAGAAAATAATTTTTAAACTAAAAAAAAAAAAGCTGTGTTACGCAGCTGTGTAAGATGGTCCATTTGTGCTAATTAATCATATTTGTCTTGTTTATATACAGGTTTATAAATGTAATTTTGTTTAAAACATTTCTTAAAGTATTTTCTCCAATAATTTACGTTAAGTTTGTTTTCTTGTTTATACACAGGTTTATGATTATTTTTTTTTTTTTTTTTTTTACATTTCTATTAAAGCATTTTTCTCCAATAATTTAATGGCACAATGGGCAAAAAATCAAAATCATCACATTATACTTGACAAAATATCCCAGAAAAACGATTCACTGCTAATTTCCAGTACATTAGGGCTCAAATAATAGGCATACAATTACTTTTTTCTCCAAAATATTGATTTTATTTTTAATTATGTTGTATGTTTGTGTATTTTAAGAAAACATAATGTAAAAGATTTTGCAAAAACAAAAAAACAGTTGAATGTTTAAAATCCATTTAATTGCAGTTATGCACTGTTAAATAAACCATGCCTTGCTACATACAGAGGCATAAATGTTAGTGTAATCACATCCTTTGACAATTTTGAGCTTTTTAACATGCACTACATGCATTTCAATCTTATCTTCTCATTAGACTATTCCCTGATCTTCAGCTTCCCACTGCTGACTGCTGAGTGGCTCTGTCCCATCAGGCTTCAGATAACCTCAGTAACTACTTACATCAGCCAGGGCATCCTTGGTAACTATCATATTTCTCCAGTGTCTTCATTTAAAACTATTAACCACAAATTGCTCTCAAAGCTGGCAAAGATGAGTATTTTCAGATTTTCACCAGAGTTCCTTCTTCACCCCCTGGGTTTTTCAGTGCATGAGTCCTTAAGCTTTTTCCATCTACTATATTTGTTTTTAATTGGGATGCAACATGTAAAGGGTATTGTGAATTTAATAGCTTGTGCTATTTTCATAAGCAGCCAATTTAATCTGAATAGTCTATTATCCAGAATAATGCCAGGCAAAAAGAGATTTAATTTCCCTTCTAGTGAAGAGGTTACTATTTTGAGTGTCATACTTGAATGGCCTTTCCACATGGTTTGTGAATCACTGAATAAATTATGTATTTTCATGTCATAGCAGGTCTTTTGATGCTGGTGGAGAGCCTCTCTTAATGTCACTAGAAATGAAAGCAAAGCTGAGAGCTTCGAATGGAAAGTGGACCTCAATCATAGTTCAATCAGTGGAGGGCAGAACCTGCTCCTTTGTATTATAATTTGATGATCTTGATGGTTGAATCATTATTTCAGAAACATTTGCATAGATAGATTAACTGTATGGTATTAAAATGTATTATTGTCTCAGGTTTTTGTCAATGGAATGAAAGTCAATAGTGTCCAAAACAACATTGGACCCCACTGACTTTTACTGTATGGACAAAAGAAGAGACTTTTTACATAATATTTTGATATCTTCTTTTGTGTTCTACGGAAGACAGGAAGTCATACAGGTTCAGAACGACAAGAGGGTGAGAAAAGTATGCCAGAATTTTAATTTTTGGGTGAACTATCCCTTTAAGAACGGTCATTTATTCAAAAGACAAAAATGTTGCTGGATCCTGACAAATTTGATGTATTTCTCAGGGTTGCAACTCTGTACTAATATTTAAGTCATCATTGGGCCTGAATACAAATTCTGACAGCTGTCATGTGAGGCTTTTTGTTAGGAACAAAGAAAAGCATGTCAATTCTTTCTCTAATGCAAACAAAACAAAAGCCATGCAAAATATATATCTACTAATATCCTATCAAACGTTTCTCTCTCATAGAAAAACAATGAGCTTTTTTGCAACAGTTTTCTTTTGTCACTGAAATAAAGCCCAGCCAAGCTCTTCTCATCCAGTAGAGGGCGCAATCATTCTGATAATTGGGTGTGTACACCCCACGTTTAAGGTGGTGATGTCCTACAGTTGCCAGCGTGCTTGGCAATTACGTTCATCTGCCGGTCGAAGTGAACAGTGTGAAGCAGCCTGTGTAAAGACACCGAAGCAGCGTTGGCTTTAAACAGAGGAAATTACATAATGACCCTCTGAAGTCTCTGCCCACGTTCCAGTGCTCTTCGCGCAGCGTCTTTTTGCCGGGGTGTGGTCATATATTCCGTACACTAAACGCTGGAATCTCTCTCAGCAGCCTGTCCTGCCCAACTTAAAACATCCTCCAGATATTCATATCTCTCTTGCGCTCTCTAATCAGCTCCATATGATGAGACGGATGCTCTAGTCTACTACTACTACTACTACTAACCGCGCAAGGGAAAAAAGGTATTGTTGTCTTCTGATGAAAGATAAAGTGCCGTTCTTTTCTTTGTATGCGATATAACGTGCACGAGTTTTGCTCGTTGTTTTCAATGGCTGTTCGTTCACTCTTGATGCTTATGATACCAAAGGCAAACAAAACGAAACAGTTAAGTGAAACACAAATGGCCAGAAGAGACAGATTTATCAGCTACTGTAGCAAATATACTGTGAACTAACCGAATCTGTATTTAAAAAGAATACAGCGACATTTTTGTTGGCGAATTGACAGCCGTAAGTTACCTGCCGGTGAAGTGTGGAGGTTGAATCAGGCTGAACTGATAGTCCAAACAAGGCGCACCCTGTAGTGCTAAACTACAAATTAGTCGTTTCTCTCCATGTTTATGAATGTGTGTTTTTTTTTTTTAAGTGAACGAATAGTTTTTTATTATTTCTACAGACCGTCTCATATTTGTAGTTCTCTCGCTTTTGAAGCCTGTAACCGTTCTGAATAATTCGTGGCCTGACTATAAGAGAAATTTATTTTATATAATATTGTCTTATTAATTATATAAGGTTATTATTATCAAATGTTCGTGCTGCTTTCTGAATGCTTATGGTTCGATCAGCTTAGTGTTTTTAAAGAATTCAGTAATTGATTCAATGACTCACTTGTTGCCAGGTTCTTGCTCAAGAGAACTTGCGGAAAGAGTCAAATCAGTGGACGACTCTGTTAAGTGAACTGAAGCAAAAGATTTGAGTAACTGAAATGAATCAAAATCCCCTCGACTACTGCAAATAGATTTTACATTTTATCAACCTAGAATCTGGTCTGGTTAATTTCAACACGTATAACTGCAAGTATTTGTTTTACACTATTTGACACTTTTTTTTTCTGTGACCACTAGCAGAGAGTGTGCAGACCACATTGCACCCTCAAATTGAATGTGCTTATGCCAAAACACACAGTAGACACACAGCCACACAAGTAACACTGTGACATTTGTTTAAGCCTTTGCCCTGTGTCCTGAGAGACTTTCACATGTAAGAGCTGACAGTGATGATAGGGACAGGTCTCATCTTGCTCTGTGCTAGCTAATGGTCTTCTCAGTTCTCTCACAAACACTGCTTTTAAATGAACTATTTACTCTTGAAAATGACGCTTCCCACACATTTATAAACCATTTTCACAACATTCAAGTGGGTTGGTGTGGTAAAGAGGAATGAAAAAAACCCTGAACTTTATTCCTCTGTTGCAACCATGCTATTTGAATATTGGCTCAGGTAGATTTTCATATTTCAAACAGTTTTTTTACATGTGCAACATATCTTGGGAGGTGCTTTCCATCTTTATTCATAACAACAGTCTTCTGGTTAATATGAAAGTTATTTATATTTTTCTTTTTCTCTCTCTCTCTCTGCAGAGGATTTAGTGGAGACAGGAGACGTCAAGTCTACATGATAAGGATGGGAATCCTTCAAGTACTGAAAACCCAGCTGCTATGTCATCTCATTATCTGTTATGTGTTCCTAGTCAGTGGGTTTATTATCAACCTGCTCCAGCTTTGTACTCTACCACTGTGGTATATTAACAAGCAACTCGCACGCAGGATCAACTGCAGATTGGGTTATTCCGTTTCTAGTCGTAAGTCCTGCAAGCTCTCACATGCGGCCTCACATCTTCCAAACAAAGTTATGACACATCTACTGTCATAACCAGCCATGATGCAACATGCTTCCAGTGCTTACTTTGTCTGCACTGACAAAGTACAGCATGAAGTGACAAAATCGCATAAAAATAGTAACAAAGTAAAAAGTGGTCAATAATATTTGTCACAGTCATGGAGATCATGATTATCATGTGTCACCTGTTGCTTTGTACCATGATTGTATTGTAGGATGCACAAACCTTACAACCATTATTTCCTGTTTGAAAACCTCGGTGTTGCACTGAGGGTAACAGAACAGAAAGTTGATATTTTTGAATTTTGCAAATTGCTCTATTTACATACAAAGTTGATGAACTTGTTGGACTACTTCACATTCATGAATATGTAAATGCATTCTGCATTATATACATTATAATTCAGTATGTATTTTTTGTTGTTGTTGTTTTGTTCAGAATTGGTGGCATTGTTGGAGTGGTGGTCCGGGACAGAATGCACCCTTTACACAGATCCAGAAAGCTATCCTTTCTATGGCAAAGAAAACGCCATTGTTGTCCTCAATCATAACTTTGAGATAGATTTTATGACCGGCTGGACCTTCTGTGAGAGATTTGGTGTTTTAGGGGTAAGACAAAAATACAGTTTCATACAAAAACTCAACTTTCCCGCACCTTAACAAGTGTGTGATTCTAAATTATTTTTAAAGACTCAATACTGCCATGATGCCGATTGCAATTGTTTTCATCATATTTTGCTTTCAGAGCTCAAAGGTGTTGGCAAAAAAGGAACTTTCCTTTGTTCCTGTGATTGGCTGGATGTGGTACTTCCTGGAAATTGTCTTCTGCAAAAGGAAATGGGAAGAGGATCGCAAGACAGTAGTGCAAAGCCTGCACAACCTTCGTGATTACCCAGAATACTTTTGGGTATATTTGTGAAATCTCATTGCACATTGTACTCTGGTGATTTTAGTTGATTTCAGATGTCTCTTTTCCTTTATCTTAGACGCACAATTACTTAAAGGAATAGTTAACCTGTTCACCCAAAAATAAAAATCATTTACCTACCCTCATGTTCCACAGCCCAAATGCTGTTATATTTTCTGTGGAACATAATAGGAGAATTTCTGAAAAATATTCAGGCAGCTCTTTCCATGTGATGACAGTTTGTCATTGTTCCAAATAGCACCATGAATGTAGTCCATGTGACAATTAATAAGTACATTTTTGGGTAAACTGTTCCCTTAACATATACACTATATCCCGTATTGTATTAAGCTTTTCTGTCCCCTTGTGTGGTTGATGTTAATTTTTATGATGTGTCTGTAGTTCCTGTTGCACTGTGAGGGCACACGTTTCACAGAAAAAAAGCACAAGATTAGTATGGAGGTGGCAGAGAAGAAAGGTCAGCCCAAACTCAAGTACCACCTTCTCCCTCGGACCAAGGGCTTTTGTGTCACGGTCCAGAACCTCAGGGGAACGGGTGAGAGCTTCTTGGCCTTTAAAGGGACAGTTCACCTTCAGTTGCTGGTCCCCATTGACTTGCATAGTGTTTTTTTCCCCATACAATGGAAGTCAATGGGGACCAGCAACTGAAGGTGAACTGTCCCT